TCTACTCCCACTCTTCCAACTGAGCATGCTCCTCCTCCTTTGCAGGTATATTCACGTCGCCCTCACACTTAGGATCCAATGCCAAAAACTCCCTTAGGTATAGGTATTTTCCCTCTCATCTCTGATACTCTTCCTCTTCAATATCCATCCTGTGTTCGGAAACCCCCTTCTTGGTATGGTTTTTCCTGTAGTACTAATCATCCGATTTCTAAGCATGTGTCCTATCATGCTTTTTCAGATTCTTATAGTGCTTTTTTGGGTAAGCTCAATTCTGTTCCTATTCCTCGAACCGTTTCAGAGGCACTTCGTTATCCTAAATGGGTTGAGGCAACGAAAGTGGAAATGGATGCTCTTTAGAAAAATCAAACTTGGGAACTTGTCTCTTTACCTGTTGGGGCTAAAATAATGGGGTGTAAGTCGGTCTTCACTATGAAATACTTGGCTGATGGATTTATTAATCGCTACAAGGCTTGCCTGGCTGCTATGGCATTTACTCAGATTCTGGGGTATGACTTTAATGCTACCTTTGCTCTAGTTGCTAAGTTAACAATTGTTCGCCTTCTAGTATTAATGACATCTTCTCATTCCCGGCTTATCCATTAACTGGATGTCAAAAATGCTTTTCTTAATGGAAATTTGCAGGAGACCATCTATATGGATCCGCCACCAGGTTTTTGGGCAGAGGTGGAGTATTTGGGTAAGGTTTGTCGATTACAGAAGTCTCTTTATGGGCTAAAACAGTTTCCCAGAGCTTGGTTTCGTCGGTTTAGTGCTGTTGTTTTGGGAATGAACTTTATACAATGTCACAGTGATCATACATGCTTTGTTCGGAAACACATAAATGGTAGATGTATTATTATCTCAGTCTATGTAGATGATATTATCATCACTGGAGATGATGCCTCCGGAATTGCTCATGTTAAGAAGGATTTGGGTTAGTTCTTTGATATAAAAGATTTGGTCCCTTGCGGTATTTTCTTGGTATAAAGGTTGCTCAATCAAGTCATGGCATATCATTCTCTCAGCGTAAGTATGCTTTTGATCTTCTTCGGGAAACAAGAATGATGGAGTGTAGACCCACCTCTACTCCTATGGATCCAAATTTTAAACTTTCTGCTGAATCTGGTGACTTGCTTCTTGATCCATCTGTGTATCAACGTTTGGTTGGTTATCTAATTTACCTAACGAATATCAGGCCAGATTTGACTTTTGTAGTTAGTGTTGTAAGTCGCATTCGTCACATTTGGATGCAATCTACCATATCTTAAGTTATCTAAAGATGTGTCTTGGCCTTGGCTTATTTCATTGGGTATTCAATCTAGAGTGTCATGTTTTACAGATGCAGATTATGTGGGATCCAAATCAGACATGCATTATAATTCTGGATTATGTACTTTCTATGGCAGTCATCTTATATCTTGGAAAAGTAAGAAGCAAGCAGTATCGTGCTATGGCGCTGGGCACATGCGAACTTTTATGGCTTTGATCTCTTCTTACTGAGTTGGGCTTCGCTGTGGAAGATTCTTCTTGTGATAATAAGTCTGCTATCATGCTTGCTTCGGATTCTTTTTTTCATGAGAGGTCCAAACACACTGAAGTGGATATTGACTTCATTCGAGAGAAAGTTCGGTCCAGTACTATTGTTCTGGTGTTTGTTCGTTCATCTAATATGTGTTTACTAAATGAGTAGGGCCATCTCTTCTTTAGTCCTCAGTTGGTAAGCTGGGTTTGATTGACAGCTTCACTCCAGCTTAAGGGGGAGTGTTTGTAATGTCCCGGATTTTTCGTTATTTATTTTATTTTGTCATGCATCGTTTTACGCGCTAAGTGGGACCCTAGACTTCAGTATAGTTATATATTTTACCCTTGGAGACTCTATGAATCACTATATTGATGGAAAATGACCATAGTACCCTTGTGTTACCTCAGGTTCGAGTAAGGACTCGTGTAGCTATCTGGACCCTCGGGTTTGGGTCGTTACAATGTTGGAATTTACGGTTTATTTTGTCCCCATAGTTTCGGGTCATGTAATTAGTGGATCACAGTTAACTAGGGATTTTAATTTAATTTATTTTATTTTATTCCTTTATTGTAACCCTGGTTGGTAAATATAAATACAAGTGCCTACACTCAATGAGAAGCAAGCAATTACACAATTTATTTTTCTTCTTTTTAATTAACAATGGGCATCCTATATTACACTAATATATAACATATCATGTATTTAACTACGTAGGAAGTTTTAGGCTCTGTTTTGGGGAGCTTTCCAGTTCAAAAATTCCTTCCATTTGAAGGCCTTTGCAAAATGTCTTTTAATGGAAGGAATTTAAAAGTAAAAAATTGTTTAGTGGATGCATTTTTGAAATTCCTTCAACAATTAACACAATTTTTAAGTTGACATTTTTATCCTTAATCATTAATCTCAATATTTTCTCTCCAAAGACATTAAAACAACTGGTGCAATGCATCAACAGTCCAATTCTTATCAACATAACTTTCATGCATTCAGTCTGAAACAACTTTTGCATAATTTTTTTATATCTTGTGTACCCACATACACACACACACACGTATATTTAAACAATAGATTGTAGAGAAAGCGAACCTTGAAATTGAAAGTTTCAGAATCTAAGGGTTGAATATAGATGCTACAGCCATGACTATTTTCTCTTTCTAGAATTAAGAAGTTGTTTGAATCGTGCCCATACAATTATGTGCAATATTGCTATAGGATTACATAGTGAAACCTCCTAATCCTCTAAGCAAACTATTGTTGGACTTGCCACAAAAAAAATTTAAAATTAAAAATTGAAGACTCCTTAGAGAAGAGTATTATAGTAGTGGAATTTGAATGGTAATAAAAGACTCCCAGAAAAACTTATTCAAACAGAAATTAACTTCTTATATTAATGGAATTTGAATGGGAGAAGAAGACTTTCAGCGCAAAAATTGTATGATAAATGGCAGCAGTAAAAATCACCTGCACTAAAAAAACATATTTGCCGGCTTGGAGTTCTTTTTCTCTATTTTGTTGGTGTTCTTCATGTCCCAATAACTTTCAAAGACTTCCACTCCTGACATAAGTCCTTTACATATTATTGAAGATTTAATGGAGGAATTAGTGGAGAAAAATCCACCTTGTTTCCTATTTTTTAATTCTTTCCATTCTCATAATTTCTTTTCCTATATAAAGGAGCTTCCACCATTGCAATGTGTATGAATTAAGAGAGTATTATAAAAGTGATATAGCCCTTTGGGCTCTTTGTGTCGTGGATATAGGCCCTAGTGGCTGAATCACGTAATATCTGTGTGTTCTACTTGTTTTATTTATCTCTTCTCTTCCGTTTTATGCTTTACAACATGGTATCAGAGCCTAATTTCTCTTCCTAGGTTCGGAGTCTTCGACCCCTATTTTGGGGTATTCCCTTAGCATCTGAAATGTTGCTAAGGGTTCCTCGGTACTCTTTGTAACTTGTTTGGGCTGTTGGTTTGTTCTATAATAATGTTCTTCGCCTTTTCCGTGTCTCTAGCAATTTTTATTGACTTGTTTGGGCTATCGGTGTATTCGACAACATTGTCTTCGTCTTTGCCGTGTCTTCTGCAGTTTTTATCGACTTGTTTGGGCTACTGGTGTGTTCGATAGCATTGTACTCGCCTTTGCCGTGTATCCGGCAGTTTTTGTTAACTTGTTTGGGTTGTCAGTGTGTTCGGTAGCATTGTTCTTCGTCTTCTCTCTTCTGTCTTCATCATTCACACTTGTTGTTACTCGTCATCTCAGTGGCAAGTTGGGCATTCATGCTCCAACTTGAGGGGAGTATTGAAGATTTAATAAAGGAATCAGTGGAGGATAATCTTTCAGTAATTGATGTTGTTTCCTATTATTGAAGATTTGGTGTTACTAGAGGAATTAGTGGAGAAAATTCCTCATTGTTTCCTATTTTCTAATTCTTTCTATTCTCATAATTTCTTCTCCTATATAAAGGAACCTCCACTATTGTATTGTGTATGAATTTAGAGAGTATTACAAAAGTTATGTAGCCCTTTGGGCTCTTTGTGCCGTGGATGTAGGCCCTAGTGGCTGAACCACGTAATATATGTATGTTCTACTTGTTTTATTTATCTATTCTCTTCCATTTTATGCTTTACAACACATATCATCTACCAAATAGTCCATTTTTTTGGGGGAATCCCTTTTGGGCTTGGAAGTCTGTTTTAGAGCTCCAGGAAGCCACACCAAACATATTTTAATGTACTCATATTCAAGTTTTGAACATTTCAAGGTCAAATCCCATGTTTTAAGATTTGGGATTCAGAAAGGTCATTTAGACACATACCACACCCAGTACTCATTCTCGAATTTGTGGCGTTCTTTTTTTAGTTAGGTAAACAACTCATAGACACCAACGATTAGTGGAGGTGAGGAATTGAATTCCCAAGTGGGGCACAATTGCGTTGGTGACTTGTAGATAAGTCTTATAGTTATGGACCAACCTTCTTGCCAATTATGTTCACTTAATCATGTGATCTTGGAAAGTTGGAGTCTACTATGTATGGTATTGAAATGCATATACTTGCTCTTCTATGTTTGGGAACTTATTAGATCTTTGATAGTAACACTGTTCATTCTAGGACCATTTTACTGCCATGCAAACTAATGCTAGCTCAGCTTCCCTTGTAAAGAAAACCATTTGGAACAAAATATAAATTGTAGTAATCTTTGATTAATTTAATTTAGAAAACAATCATTTGCATCTTTGTTAGTAACGAGATAACTTCTTCATGGGTTTCAACTGTTCAGTTCCTCACCTATATCCATATATGAATATGGATATGGTGTACCACCTTTTGTTTGTCGTTAGGTTTATGCTGTTCAGAAATTACTAGATATAATCCCGGAAGCAATGTAAAGCTGCAAATCTGTACAGCAGCAAGTAATTGTTGTTTCCATTTAATTTCTTTAACCTTACAATGCTTCTTCTATATCGTATATAATTTATCAGGAAAAAATACGAGTGGCTCTGTATGTTCAACAGGCGGCACTCAAATTTATTGATGGTACAGATTTCTCAAATTACTATTTCCATTGTAATAATAACTAATACATGTAGATCCCATAGATTCATTTTTTTTTCCCTTTTGCTTTCTATTTCATTGCTTTGTTGTACAGCTGCTGGCCGATTTGAATACGACTCGCCGGAGGCTCGAGAAGCAGGGTTAAAAATTTCCCCAGACGGGCTTGCATCTGTTGTTCGAACCCATGACAAAAAGGGCTTGGAATCTATCGGAGGAATTGAAGGACTTGCAGCAAAAGTCAACGTCTCATTGGATGAAGGAGTTAAATCAAGTGACTTACCTGTCAGGCAAAAGATATATGGCTTCAATAAATATACAGAGAAACCTTCTAGAAGCTTTTGGATGTTTTTGTGGGATGCATCTCAGGACTTGACTCTTATTATCCTTATGGTTTGTGCGGTGGTTTCTATAGGTGTTGGACTTCCCACTGAAGGGTGGCCAAAGGGCATGTATGATGGAGTGGGAATTATACTTAGTATATTCTTGGTAGTGTCTGTTACAGCAGGCAGTGATTACAAGCAATCTTTGCAGTTTAAGGATTTGGACAAGGAGAAGAAAAAAATTTTTGTTCAGGTCACTAGAGATGGATACAGGCAGAAGATCTCCATATATGATTTGGTCGTTGGAGATGTCGTGCATTTAAATATTGGAGATCAAGTTCCAGCTGATGGGATATATATATCTGGATACAGTTTGTTGATCGACGAGTCAAGCTTGTCAGGCGAGAGTGAACCGGTAAATGTATATAAAGAAAAACCTTTTCTTCTTGCAGGAAGCAAAGTGCAAGATGGTTCAGGTAAGATGCTGGTGACTACAGTTGGCATGAGAACTGAATGGGGTAAGTTGATGGAGACTCTAAGTGAGGGTGGAGAAGATGAGACCCCTCTTCAGGTGAAGCTGAATGGTGTTGCTACACTTATTGGTAAGATCGGATTGGGTTTTGCTGTGGTTACATTTGTGGTGTTGGCAGTAAGGTTTCTGGTAGAGAAAGCACTTAATGGTGAGATCACACAGTGGTCTTCCAGTGATGCACTGGAGATTCTAAATTACTTTGCTACTGCAGTTACTATAATTGTTGTCGCAGTTCCAGAAGGACTACCCCTGGCAGTGACGCTAAGCCTTGCCTTTGCAATGAAGAAGTTAATGGACGACAGGGCACTCGTGAGGCATCTCTCTGCATGTGAGACAATGGGTTCTGCTACTTGCATTTGCACGGATAAGACAGGGACACTAACAACAAACCACATGGTAGTTGAAAAGATTTGGATACGTGGAAAACCTGAAGAGATAAAAAGCAATGAAGGTGGAGGTATGCTGAGATCAGAACTATCAGAAAAGGTTTTAACTATCCTGTTGCAGGCTATATTTCAAAATACGGGTTCTGAGGTAGTCAAGGATAAAGATGGAAAGAATTCTATTATCGGTACACCAACAGAAACAGCATTGTTAGAGTATGGCTTGCTTCTGGGTGGTGATTTTGATGCTCAGCGCCGTGAGATTAAAATACTAAAGATTGAGCCTTTCAATTCAGACAAGAAAAGGATGTCTGTGCTTGTTGCTCTTCCAGATGGTAGGCATCGAGCTTTTTGCAAAGGTGCCTCAGAAATAGTCTTAGGAATGTGCGACAAGATTGTTGATACCAATGGAGAACCTGTTCTTATGTCAAAAGAACAGGTAATAAATTTAACAGATATCATAAATGGTTTTGCTTCTGAAGCTCTGAGAACACTCACCTTGGCTTTTAGGGACACTGATGAAACTTCCAATGAGAACATCCCAGATAGTGGCTATACATTGATAGCCATTGTTGGAATTAAGGATCCGGTTCGCAAAGGTGTCAGGGATGCTGTTGGAACATGTGTAGCTGCTGGAATTACTGTACGTATGGTCACTGGTGACAACATTTACACAGCTAAAGCCATCGCTAAAGAGTGTGGCATACTCACTGAAGGTGGTTTGGCCATAGATGGAGAAGAATTTCGCAGAAAAAGTCCAGAGGAAATGAGGGAAATAATACCTAAAATTCAGGTTTATGTTTGATTTATTAAATACTGTAATCTTATAAAGAGGATGCAGTATTTTCAGAATTGATTCAATCATGATTACAGGTAATGGCTCGGTCCTCGCCTTTGGACAAGCACACGTTGGTAACCCAGTTGAGGCATATGTTTAAAGAGGTTGTTGCGGTTACTGGTGATGGGACAAATGATGCTCCTGCTTTGCATGAGGCAGACATAGGACTTGCCATGGGTATAGCAGGAACAGAGGTTCTGCTCATATATATATATATATATACACACACCTTGTTTTGTTTCGTTTACATGCTGTTCTTTTTTCTTTCCGGCATTGATTTGACTCTTTGATTTTAAAGTACACGCCATTTTAAATCTAATGACATAATTAATTATTGTTGCTGTTGTTTAGTTCTCTTATGACTTCAAGTGGTTGGTCTAACTTCCCTTTTATCTGTTCAACTTGGTCACTACCCATTAAACCGAAATATTATTATGCTGCAACTTTATGAAACTTCTTTGGATTCTGATATCCTCAATGAGGTTAAGCTTCCTTTTCAATTAGCTTGCACCTTCTCCTTTTCATTGTCCTTGATACCACATTTCTTTTCTTATTGTGTTGTCTTCATATCACTGGGTTTCAAATAAAAAAATTTGCATGATTTTAAAATAATATGATCTTTGGTCCTTTGATTATGTTCTTTAAAAATTAGCCTTAATTTTTTGAGAATTTTTAAACTTCTTCCAGTCATGTCAAATTGGACATATGCTTCTAGAATAAAAGTTATGAGTTAGAAATGCATAAATAAAATCAATCAATGAGACTGACTATAAAAAAAAATTATTCTTCTTTTTTTATTTCCTGTTGGAGTGCACTTTTTCGAACGTTGGAGTGGTGATTTAGAAACACAGGAGTTTGGTTCCAAAATCACCTAATTCAGTCCCTGAACCTGACCCATTTAACTCGCTGTCAACCCAAAACCAACGTACACAAACTTATTGTTAACGTGATTGATTAGGATTTATCTTTTATCTATTAGCATAATTAGCGTAGTTGATTAGAGCTGACTTTGTAAACTTAATACTTATCTTATATATTTAATGTGTGTATAATATATATACCTCCTTGTGAGAAGAATAAAAGAATTGTAAGATTTTTCTCCCTATTTTTCTCTAGTTTTGACACTTATCAAAAATTAAATAAGGAGAGTTGTTTTAGTCAATACATTATCTGAAAGTATAAATAATATTATAATAAGTAATGTAAAACCATACATCTTAAAGTTTGTAATGTGTATTCAGATATTGGATTCCAATTATTTTTAGATTCGGCAATAGCATGGGTTCAGGCAGATTTGGTCGAAGTTTGAAGTCATGATAACCCTTCACTTTAATCTAGAACCTGACCATTTTTTAATGATAGTCAACCTAAATCCAAACTGCCCGTCTGTTTATATTTTAACAATATTTGGAAATACAATGAAACTTTATAATGAAAATATAATAAATTTATTTTCAATAGATTGATTAATTTTAATTTAGATGAAATTTGTATATGGTGGGGTCGGAGGTCTAGCTAAATGCAAGCAGTTATTATGTGTAATTGCAACATAATAGTAGAAGTTGGATTCTGGTCACTTACGGAAAATAGAAGTAGTAGTATTTTGCGACTCATAGACAGGAGCCATATTTGTGTTGGCCATGTATTGGGCGCTACTATTTTCCAAATGCACCTGGCCTTTCATCTGCACATCCTAGTATAAATGATTCATGTCAAATATGTAATCTCATGTTTGTGCCTTTGCAACATAGAGATCTATATATAACACAAAATCCATCTATGTAGGACGCTTTGGATGTTTGTCGTTTCCAATTGCCAAATCTATGAGGATTAATTTTTTTTTTTCTAGATTTTTCCATATGTTTAATGTACTTCATATCGTTTTCAATTGTATTGGCAGATTGCATATATTTGTTTCCCTAAAATAATGTGTGTACATTTGTTCATCATGTTTAGCTCATTTATAGATGGAGAGATTTGATAATAATTTGTAATGCAAGAGTGGCATAGCTAAAATGACAAGAATTTGATAATTATCAGCAGAGTACGTCTTAAAAGTGCATTCCCTTGTCTATCGTTGTATGCAAATCAACATGGTCTTAAGTTCATAAATTAGGTACTATTAGATTTGCTGAGAAAGCTGTTATCTGTCTAAAATAATAGTTCTTGATGTAAGAATAACATATGTTATGCAGGCCACTAAAAGAAACAATTATACCAAGCATTTGGTAGTTATCAATGGAGTATTTCTTTACAGACCATCAACTTAATTATGTCATTCAGTGTAAAACAATGTAGTCGTGAAGTGTATGTCCTAAATGTCAGTTACTATGGATGGAGTATTTCTGTGAAGGCTATGACTTATCTACATCATTCAGTGTAAAACAATGTCATCATGAGTGTATGTCCTAAATGTGAGTTACTATGGATCCATTAAATTGTTCACTTGAAGTTTCTCAAAGTTATTGCACACTAGTCTTTCTAGACACTTGGTCCGAGTGTAGGTGCATTGTGTAAACTGTTTCATCCTCTCATCTAATGTTAATTTCAGCTTATCATTATTTCTCCAATAACTTCTACAGGTTGCAAAAGAAAGTGCTGATGTCATTGTATTGGATGACAATTTTTCAACAATTATAAATGTAGCCAGATGGGGGCGCGCAGTATACATAAACATTCAGAAGTTTGTGCAGTTCCAGTTAACTGTCAATGTCGTTGCTCTCATTCTCAACTTTGTTTCTGCATGCATCACTGGTGTGTTGGTATTGGGAGCTATTTTTTTCTTTCCTATAATAGCTTAATAATAATATTTGCAGGAAAAGATAGTAATTGCAGTTCCTCGTAACTTTCAGGATCCGCTCCCCTTACAGCAGTTCAGTTGCTTTGGGTCAACCTGATCATGGACACACTAGGTGCATTGGCACTGGCTACAGAACCACCCAAGGATGGACTGATGAATAGGCCTCCTATTGGGAGGGGTGTGAGTTTCATTACCAAAACCATGTGGAGAAATATCATAGGCCAGAGTATTTATCAACTGGCTGTCCTTGCAGTTCTTACTTTTGATGGGGAGCAAGTTTTGAGACTTGAAGGTTCAGATGCTTCGGACATTCTCAATACTTTCATTTTCAATTCCTTTGTGTTTTGTCAGGTATTTATCTTACTGTTTCTATAAGATATGTATTACAGTTTTTTTTGTACCTCCTGCTTTGTATTTGGTTCAGAAGTACTTGAAAATTCTCTCTTGTTTGAAATGATCATATTTGGTTTAGAAGTATTTGAAAATTTTCTCTCTTTGTTTGAAAAAGATCAGATTTGGTTGAGAAGTATTTGAAAAGATCATTCATTTTCTGCATTCTGTATTTTTGAAAGAAACATTCAGGATTTTGTTTCTACTCTATTAGTCTGGAAGTGCTGTTATGGAATCTAATTCCCGATACATAGTTTTTACTCAATGGAACAAAACAGTGATATTCTTTTTTATTACTAAGCATAAACATAAATTAATTTTACTACTTTTATTTGTTTCATTTTCCAGTTGTTTAATGAGATAAACAGCCGTGACATTGAGAAGATAAACATTTTCCGTGGCATGTTCGACAGCTGGATATTCATTGGCGTAATGGTTTCAACATTAGCGTTCCAAGTAATCATAATCGAGTTCTTGGGCACTTTTGCGAGCACTGTGCCACTGAGCTGGCAACTATGGTTACTCAGCATTTTAATCGGATCGGTGAGCTTGCCCCTTGCAGTCGTTTTGAAGTGCATTCCTGTTGAAAGAGAGACTGCTAAGCAGCCTAAGCACCATGACGGTTATGAGCCTCTACAAAGTGGTCCAGAGATGGCTTGAAAATGGAAGGAAAAGGCTTATATATATATATATATGCCCAGCTTTAATATCAAATTTAATATCTACAATTCAAGGCACATTTTGGTTCTTGGAGAGATAAGAGGCGGACGTCTCTAGTGCCCAAACATGTTGCAACAGAAAAGTGTATTCTTCTAACCCGGACCATGATGCGATTTAACTGATTAGATGGTAGGTTTTTGATAATTTTTGAAGTCAGGTTGGCATGAAATTTGATCAATCACTGCCCGTATTTTTCACCCACGTGAATAGATGAAAGATGTTATCAAGGGTCACACAGAAAGTCCTTCCATCTAAGTTTCATATGGGCGGGCATTACTTAGTGACCTAATTGGTAGAGAGGCCAACCCCGTGTTTGAGTCTTCCCCTTGAAAAAAATTAAAAAATAAAAATAAATAAAAAGTGTTGCATATGGGCTACTCTGTGGGACAAAATGTTTGTTTGCTTTTGCTGCATCGTTGAACGTTCCATGCTTTGTGAATTTTTTTGTCTCCTGTAATGGATTGAAATTTTGGTTGAAGGCTGTTTTCGTTTGTAGTATAACTATTTTTCTTGATGGCTCAATGTATCAATTAAATAAACCAACGCTTCTGATACACGAAAAACTTTTTGAACTATGTTATGAATGTTCTAGTGATTCTGTGATGGCTGCATAGAATGTCTATAAATGCATATTTGTGTTAATTGACAAGACAACGCTAACAAAGGCTGTTTGATATTTCAATTTTGTGAAACAAATTTTCTCCTAATCCCGGAGAAATGATTGCGCAAAAAAGGATTTTCTTCAGTTTTTCCATGGTCTCTCAAACAAGTGGAGCAAAAGAGAGTATTTTTACAAGAACATTGTTTCTTCAGTACCACCAATAAGATATAAAACTACATATATGGAACATTGGGCAAAGATATGGGAGAGAAACCAACAATATATATTAGAACTGAATAAATCAACCGAATCTAATGTGTCAAAACACAAGCTTGTGTGCATTAAAAAAATACAACAAAGCAGTGAAATGAATCTGTCTCTCTCCCCTTCCAAAATCTGTCCATCTCCAGATGGAATCTGATGCCCTCTTATAAGGGTAAAAAATATCGAGCCGGTTAAATGAGAAAAAGAAAAAAAAAAATGGCTGTGTGGAAGATCATTTGAATCTTCGCTTGGCTTCTCCATAGGCAACAACCCCCAAAACAGTCAGTGAATAGCCAGCAATACCAACAAAGGTTACAGGATTCCGAAACAGGAGTATCGAGATAACAACAGCTACAGCACCTTTTGCATTGCCCAACACCTGTTACCAATATAATTTCATAGGCAAAATGGTTCAGGAACAACAAACACATATATCATGCTAAAATGATGGGATGTGATCTAAGTTTTTGGGAACTGTTTAGTCGCTCTCTCCAGCTCGCTTGGACCTCCAAAATGATCTTAAAGGGCAGATATTCTGCGTTCATTGATCAAAACTCAAAAGGTTTGATAGGTTTTTAAATTTGCACATAGGGCCTGGGCATCACAAGTCCAAGATGGAGTCCCTGTACAGGCTCCTTAACCCAAAAGTTCTGAAGGTACATTACGAACACTAAGACAAGGTATGCACGTTTATAAACAGAACCCCATAGCTTTCCAAGGTTTAGACATAAACAGTAAGGGCATATCGAGACTTCCGTGGAAGTGAAATCATTGGCGTTAAATTTTGCATACATTTGAAAATTGATCCTCTTGAATGAAATCATTGCCCAAGGAGGAGCAATCATATCATTGTAGAGGAGTATTATTATTTTTCTTGCAAATCAGCTTCTTATAATTAAGAACCTATGAGGGGAAAAAAAGAAAAATAAACTTCTTTGCCATAAAATAACTCCATCCAAGCAATTGATGACTACCTCATAAACCATGAGAACGGAATGGGATACTCCTGTTCCATAAAAAATATGGAGACAGTAATCTTGCTAACCGTCGTTATAGTACAGATGGTATATTGTCAGAGAGCCTAAAATAGATTAAAGATTTCCTCCAAATCTACTTTCATGACTTGCTGCAAATGTTATGGTTATTAATAATTAACACACACATACACAGAGAGAGAGAGAGAGAGAGAGAGAGAGGGAGGGAGAACAGACCTGGAGTGTTAGTGCACTTGTATGCTTAGTCACCAAGAAGTTGGACAAATTGGCTGAATAAGCCATTGTTGAATTGATTGCAAGGAGTAGCCACATGAATCTATGTTCCATTCCAAGTGATATAGTCACATGCAAAACATTAGGCTCCATGATAAAGGTGGCAGGCAATAAAACTAGGATTGCAACTGGGGACATATACAGCATCAAATTCATGGAGTTCAATTTTTCCCTGAAATATTAACGTAATTTATTTAGGCTGTTGAAAGTGCTGTGCTGTAAGGAGCTCCATTTCAGTTGAGAGTAAACAGAGGATAAGAGCCAACAGAAACATTTCTACTTCAATAAAACCATCCCAACCTAACAAACCGAGAAGGCGAAAAAATTCTCTTTTCCTTTGTTTGCTTCATAACCAAATAAAGCATACAGGAATTAGCATATACATGAACATACAAAACAATAGAAGAAAAGGGCAAAACTGATTTTCTCACAGCTTAAGCAAACAATAGTATATCGGTGCACCATTAAAAGGGATCTAAGAGAAGATAGTTAAGAGGCAGTTTAAAGAATAAAACACTGTTTGGTTCAAAGAACTTAGACTAACAAGCACGAGGTTAAAGTTTTCGGGCGACTTTGCACAAATACTAATGTTTAGGAATGAGATCAGCCTATACCTCCCAGCACCTTGCAAAGGCAAGACAGCACCAGGTGACAGCCTCTTACATCTGTCTGTTTGGGGCAAGGATTGCATAGGATAATACCAAAATAGAAGAGCAAAATTTTGAAAGGCAGGACAATGATGATAACAAGTGGCATCATGAATAGTTTACTAAAGAAAATAAAATTTTTCAGGCTCTGATATATACACATAAATGAAAGAACATTATTGATTGCATGCATTGAAGAATATATAGAACATTAGCAATTACTCAGATAATAGGTTAGTAACTGAAAGCAGTAAGTGTTTACCCTTCAGAAGAAAGTAGAATTCCCTGGAGAACAGACTTGAAGGCCCTTGCAGCAGTTGCACTTATGCACATAATAAATCCAAACAGGTGGAAGCTTGGCTCACCCTGCCACCAACAAGAAAAACTCGTGAACTACATCGAAACCAGACACAAGTAACTCACCAGAAGAATGACATGAATGACAGTGGTGAAATCCAAAAGCAATTAGGAATCTAACGTCTATACCAATCCCTGGACAACCATATCTATAAGAAAGAAAATGATTCAACAGTCCTGTTCTATTAACTCAGTCCCAAAATGAGGTATAACTTGCATTCAATAGCCCCTTAACCACAGTGTGTAAGTGAGTTTTGCAAAGGACTGCCAACACTAATTCAAACACTAGTTGATAAGACAAATACACAGTAATTAGCAGTTGGTAATAACAAAAAACATGACTTTTTAGGAGCCAGATTAGCAAGTCTCCATATTTGCAACGATAAGCATGAAATGAGAGTTATGTTTTGAAATTGAATAATTAATAGTCTAAGGAAAATGTGTAGACAAAGAGAAGTTGCAATCAATCAACAAACCTTGTATTAAACAAGTCATCTTCTAGACATGGAAAAGTAGGGACCTATTTTCTTTCTACATCTAAAAGGCCATCAGATTGGGGTATAAACTATAACATTTTCATTGTGTTCTTCTACATCTTGGCTATATTATCCTAATATTTTAACAAATTAAACTGTTGAATATTCAAGTGGAGTTCATTACTTAACAAATCCTAACTCAAATTATTTTTTTTTCTTAATTGACTCACACGCACATGTCTCCACCGAGACTCGAACCCCTGACCTCCCTTTGAAAAGTAGGAGCCTGGTACCGCTAGGTTACTGGCCTGTTGGTAATCCTAACTCAAATTAACTGTTGAATATTCTAAAATTAACTGTTACTTAACAAATTAAATGTTGAATATTAAGTGTAATATCCTAAGATTTGTGTCATTGCGAAGCTTTACCCTCCCACCTTCCTTTTTCGCTCCGTATAATCCACTGGTTTCCTTTCTTTCAAAGGAATATTCCTTTTCGGCCGATTCTCCTTTGGTCAATTTAGCATTTATCATTTTTTGCAAGGTCTGAAGTTTCGATTTGAACATTAAATATTGTATTTGGTTAAAATATTGACGAGAACCTAACATTGTGCAAGTTTGTCTCTGAAACTTCATTAAAACCTTGTCGTATGATGGATGTCATAAGAAAGAGAAATTTTCAAATTAGATTTCAGAAAGTTCAAAAACCTTTGATTTCAATTGTAATAGATAACCAACAGGCCTGTGGCCTAGCGGTACAAGGCTCCTACTTCCCAAAGGGAGGTCAGGGGTCGAACCTCAGTGGAGACAGTGTGTGTGAGTCCCAACTAGGAAAAAAAAAAAAAAATTGTAATACATAACAAAGAGGTGCATCCTGAGACCACAACAATCCAAAGTCCAAACATGTAATATGCCCTACAAGCTTGCAACTTGCTAAGCCCATCTTGACTGCATTGGTCTAAATTTCAGTTATACCACTAAGTACTAATGTAATATGCTTAATTACTGAGTGACATATCACCGGATATTACACTCGCTAAATCCAGTTTTCCACTGAGTGTGTATAGTAGTAGTTAAGAACTGCAAAAGAACACTAACCTGACATTTTGCTTAATAATCTATATTTCTATCATAAAACTCCCATTTGCAGATATTCTTCCAGAAGCCAAATCACAAGAAAATTCAAATTTTGCCATGCTGGGCACAATGTACGTACATCAGGCAACAATAAAGCACTGCAATATATGCATCAGTATGCATTGTTTTGTTGTTGCCATATCTGAATATCTAATGGGTAGTTTGGTATGTATCCAGGTCAAAATCATTTCTACGGTCCAAAATCACTAATTTTATTGAGCAACATATAACAGATTTCTAGACATAAATTTCTTTGAAAATAGAAGAATAGAGTTTCATAATTGAAGAGGTCTTTTTTTCTTTTTTTGGTAAGTAATTAAAGAGTCCTCACCTCTACTTTGAATCAATTAAATTAAACAATATAAACCACACACACTAAAAAATAAAATTACAGCCTATAAAACGATGCATAAATCATCATATATTCATACATAAGTTATCTGGAATTAACACATACAACAAACATTCAGATCTGGATTGTTCTTTTTCAAATGACCACTCCATAAAATTACCTTAAAAATCGTTAAGACAACAAAAACTATACGGATCAACATTAAAACCAACTCATACAGAATTACCCACTAACAAATTATTATTCTTTAATACATAGAACCGATCAGATTCAATTACCACACCAGCAAAATTAAATTAAAAAAAAATAGTCAAAAAAAATCCTAAAAATTCCATGATCCAAAGGAAAAAAAATAATAAATAAATAAACATACCCCACTTGCAATGACAACCCCAACAACAACAGGTACAAGAGCAGCATACGTAACCCAGGCCTCCCTCTTGAAGGTCATTAGATAGGCAAACATGGCTGTGAAAAACGGCGTGGTGGCACCGACAGCCTGATTGAAAGACACTGGAAGATACCTAAGGGAAATATTGCCACCAACAACAGAGGCACAAAACACAATGCTCAAAGTTGCAATTTTGATGAACTGAGACCTAGATTTGATTCTCTGGAGAGGGACAACCTTCAAGAAGATAATGGAGACGTAGCTGAGGACAGCACAGGCTGTCATATGACACATGGTGAGGAAGATTGGGAAGCCAAAGCCATAATTGGAGAGCAAGAACTTGTTGAGGAGGAGAACACCAATGTTTGATGAGTACCATAGGATGATGAGTGATGATATGAAGAGGGCTTGCTTTCTTGATGGTGACATTAATTTGTTTTCTAGGGTTTTGTTGCTGCTTGGATGATTTGTGAGGGAAGAAGAAGCTCTCATTGGAGCTCTATTGGAAGATGATGGGCATTCTTAAATTTTCTGTAATTCCTTCTTTTGTTTGGTAATGAGCGTGTGTGTGTCACTGTGTGAGTTGTGGAAATTTTGTAGGGATTTGTTTAGGTGGAAGAAAGAGAGCAAATGTCTGTCTTTGTATGACAATTCTAAGAAAGAAAGTTGGGGTAGTTCACAGATCACTATAGATAAGTAGTCTCAGTCAATTACGGAGTATTTGTATATATATATAACATCTCTTGTATCTATATATATTACGAAATCAAATTCCAACTAGGATTCTCCTTTAACAACTACGTTTTGCTACATTAAAATAAATAAATAAATAACTACTGCTGCTGCTGCTGCTGCTGCTGCTGCTACTACGTTTTGCTTTGAAGAATTTTTATAAAAGTCAAAACAGTTATTAAAAAGGAACCTTATTAATGCGACACTCTAATAAAAGTTATATATATATATATATATATATATTTATAGAGACACAAGCATTCATATCAAATAAATTTTACAACCAATAAAATTGGACTAAAATTTTGTAAGAATCATGCCTTGGTCCCGGATTATGTAATAATTTTTCTGACAAGGCTTGTCTATTTATTAATGGATAAGGCATTCCTATTAAGTACAATCACAAATTTACAAATAATTTATAGGGTAACATACAGTCACACCCTTTGAAGTTTGGCAAAAGGACACTTAGAGGAAACTTATCTGTTTTTTGGACAAAGATACCTCTTGAAGTTTCAAAAATAGACAAATACACCCTTTTACATGAAAATTGACCAAATTACCCTTTGACCGTTTAAGAGACTTTTTTAACTTTACAATTTAATAAATTTGACCAATTTACCCTCATAAATAATTTATGCATAAAAAAAATTAAAAAAATAAAATAAAATAAAAACCTTTATATTGTTCACTCTTTTTTTTTTACTTTATAAATGTTCTAACTTCTAAAAAATGTAGATGTCTAAAATGATTTTTTGATCCAATACATATATTTTAAATAAATTATATTTTATTATTACTTCTTTTCTTTTTCTTTTTCTTTTTTTATTTTTAAATTAAGATGTTTAATCCTTTCGTCTAAAAACTTAAACCAATTTCTTTTCCTTAAAAATAAAAAAAATAGTATCAGTATAACTTTATGCATCTTAAATTATATATCAAATATTATGCATTTCCCAATATAAAGAAAATAGGTATCAGTATAACTTTATGCATGCCTTTGTTTTTTTTTTTTTTTCCCTTTGTTTTATTATTATTTTTCCCTTTGTTTTATTATTTTTTTCCCTTTTTTTTTATTCCTCTTTGTTTTATTATTATTTTTTCCCCTTTATTTTATTATTTTTTCCCTTTGTTTTATTGTTATTTTTTCCCTTTTATGTTAGAAAATGCATAATATTGGATATATAATTTAAGATGCATAAAGTTATATTAGTACCAAATTTTTTATTTTTAAGAAAAAGAGATTGGTTTAATTTTTTTAAATGAAAGAATTAAGTATCTTAATTTAAAAATAAAAAAGAAAAAGAAAAGAAGTAATAACAAAATATAATTTATTTGAAATATATGTATTGGATCAAATAATTATTTTAGACGTCTACATTTTTAAGAAGTTGAGACATTTATAAATAAAAAATAAAATAAAAAAAGTGAACAATATGAAGTTTTTTTTTTTATTACTTTTTTTATGCATAAATTGTTCATGAGGGTAGATTGGTCCAATTTATTAAATTGTAAAGTTAAAAAAGTCTCCTAAACGGTTAAAGAGTAATTTGGTTAATTTCTATGTAAAGGGGTGTCTTTGTCCATTTTTGAACCTTCTAGGGGTGTCTTTGTCCAAAAAACAAATAAGTTTTATTTGAGTATCATTTTGTCAAACCTCAAGGGTGTGGCTGTACCTTACCTTAATTTATAATTACAAAATTTAAAAAGTAATAAATAAAGAAATGAGAGAGGGTGACTGAATTTATTTTTAAAAAATTATTATATTTATTTACCACTTTCTTAATTTTATAATTACTAATTATTTGTGATTAGACAAGTCAGTTGTTAAGTAGGAGTGATTTATTTACCAGTTGTACTTTTAATTTTTGTTATTATTATTAATTTTTTTATTATTTATTAGCAATTGTAATCAAAGTCCTGTCTCTATACCTGTAAATTTCATATACTCTCTTTCACGTCTAGGAATCTTATTGGTGCTAAGCACCTATCTGGGGTGGTCCTTAGAGTAGGTGATCCTATGCTTTTTAATTTTTTTAGCATTTAATAAACAATTCCAAACAACAAGATCTATGACATTCCAGTTAAGCTGTGACACGTGGAAATATATTAATTTTGAACATCGTGCATTGATTGAATGACCACAGGTACTGTAAACTTATATAATATTTTGTACTAACGAGTCGTTCAGACTTTGTCCCATGAAAACTGGATCCTTAGACAGTGTCGGTTGAGATTAATTTCCACCATATTTTTCGGAACATCCATGGTACAATATTTAAAAAATTAAATCTTATGGATGCCTATAATTGCTCTTATTTTTTTTTTTACAAAAATTGAAACTATGAACAAAAAATTAATAATGATAATAATAATAATAATCACAAAATATAAAATATTTACCACACAAGTCTCTCTCCTGAGTTTCATTGTACTCTTTAATTCCGATATTCAAATTAGTCATTTTTAAGGGCACCATCAATTCAGAGAATTGAATTTGAAACTGAGATAAATTTAGTCTAAATTTAATGTCCTTTCTATGCTCTAAAATGCAACACACACACACACATAGCAAGGGGTGGAGGCAAGTGTTTATTTCAAAAAGGGCACAATGCACTTAATTGGAAAAAAAAAAAAAAAAAAAAAAAAAAAAAAAAAAAAAATGACAAATATAATTTTTTTTAAATCAAAAGACAAACGAGAAAAAAAAAAATAATTGTAAAATAATATGCTAAATAAGTATTGTAAAAATATATATATACTTACAAATATAAGAATCAAAATATTGATTAATAATATTTTAATTAAATACAATACAAATGTCATAAAAAGAAAGAAATAACAAAAAATGAAACAATACATAATTATACATAAGTACATGTACTTGAAGAAAGGGATATATGTAACTTCTTCTTCTTTTCCAAAAGGAAATTAGAGAAATTTGAAAATTTTAGGGGGAGCACTATTTAAAATTACCGTACAAATATATGTATATAACAAAAATACATACCTATTTATAGTAGATTGGAGCAAGGGCAGGATGCACGTGCCCTCTCTGGGCCTTAATTGGCTCCGCCCCTCTGCATAGTTATGTTATTATGGACAATACTTGCCTACTCACCGGTGAGTAGGGAGTCTCTACTGACTCAATAGGTGGCATAATAAAATTATGACAAGTGTTTCAAATTTTATAAAATATAAAATATAACAAAAATAGAACCAAAACGTACTTAATTCATTTTAATCGAGTTAATCGCATCTTTCTCTCCATATATATCTATACACACTTGTACATACATAGGTACAAAATTACCTTTTAAAGTAGAGAAAAATTAGGATTCAAGCTTCTTAAAATAATACATTCCAAAACAAGATCTTCCTAAAACAATATATTGTTTTTGTTCTTCCGAATCAAAAGATCAAAATTTGGATTTCACCATAACTGTACAAATATAAATACATATATATACATATATATGTATAAACAAACAAAAACATGTTATTAAAATGCCCATTCACCTCCACTTCCAAAGTAATCCTCATTCTCACTGCAACAATCCTAAGTTGGACAAGAAAAGGGCAAGAACTTTTTTTTTTTAAACACAAACCGGAAACATTTTATGATTCTAGCAATGATTCTTCATATCAATCACGTACTTTCCACTTTGAGAAGGTAGAAAGCAAAACTAACCCTTCAAAACACTATTGCTATATCTCAATTCAATTATTTTTTTATAACGCCCATACACATATTCTGATATTTATAAGAATAGTGGTCAAGAATGTATACATGTACTAGAAGAAAATTGTAAAAGATACTGTGAATCCAATTAAAAATGGGTCAAATCAGTTCTAATTTTATTTTTGTTATATTTATATTTTATAAATTTTAGGACACTTGTCATAATTTTATTATGCCACCTACCTAGTCAGTAAAAATTTCCTACTCACCGGTGAGTAGGCAAGTATTGTCATGTTGTTATGTTGTCTTAGACATTTAAAAAAGGTGCAGTATGTAACTGTGTATTTAGGGTGTACACAAACCAGTTTAACTAAAACTTAAATATTTTATGGGCTTATGTTCCATTTATGATCCCCTCGCTCATTCATGAAATCCAACAAGAAAAGAGTTTCCAACCCAACTCATTTACAAGGCCCTCATTACATTAGCAAATGTACCCACAAGTTCATTACTCAATTATATTCAACGAGGCCCAAACGTCTAGGCCTGGCCCATATTATCTTAAAATCCAACTCCAAAGTTCTAATACTTAAACTCAAGTCTTAATTTACATATCATGCCTATAAAAAAATATATCAAAATGGTTTTATTTTAAATATTTTTTACAAACAACGATATGATTTGAACTGCTAACGGAAAATATATTCATATGAACAAACTGATTCAACTCAAATAATGGACAAAAGCATAAAGAATCATATATCATTGGACAGAAGAAATAGGAAAAGTCCTTAACCAAGTGATAAAATTGAAAAACTAATTTCTTAACGATAAAAATTACCTTCTCATTAAGTATATAATGTTCTTTGATTTTAGAAAATTATAGTACTACTACGAAGAAAAAAAAAATTGTTTTCCCATCAATCCCACCCCTTAAATTTCTTGAATTAGATTAACCAAATAAAAGATAATAATAACTTTTTATACATAAGATAAGTTATTATTATTTTCACTAAAGAGATGAGCAAAGTCATTTATTTTAATTCTTAAAACCCAATTTAGCAAACACAATAGTTTTCTAAGCTTCAAAGAAAAGTCAATAGACTCAATACGGAACTAACTTTTTATTCATGAAAGTGTGTAACAGTACCAAGCATTTGAAAAGGGTTACGAACCATACTCTTTACAAAAATGACTTCAAAAATTATTTTTTGAATCTCATCAAAGCAAAAAGAGATTTGACAAGGATCCAACCATCATTAGTAGATTTACATAAG